AATGCCCATCACTAAGACAAACTGATTTCTTTAGACAACATGAGTAGCGGTGCTACTCAAGATTAAGGAATAAAATGTTTTGTCTATATTCAGCTGCTAGAAGGTATGATTTCCATGAGACCCAGACATGATAATTGATGTAAGTATAAGGACATGGTTTAGATTTCACATGACACTGTTCACTGAATGTGATAATTTCCAATCACATTTAAACATTCATTACTTAATGGCTTTGCCAACTGAGAAATTCTTTTATGGCAGTTGCCAATTGGGTTTGAGGTATTATAAGGATAGAATGCTAATCAGCATAAGGAAGAGAACTTTGGTGTCTAAAGAGCATTGATACGAAGAATTCCAGGGAAACTAGGAGAGTTGGCAGAAGGATTCTGTGACGGAGTAATTGGGAAAGGTTGGTGTTTGCACGTTTGGGTGATTTGGGTTCTATCGAGGTTTATGATGAGTGTGGGAAAAGTGATGTTTGATGTAGAGAGAGCCTGAAATTATTGGGAGAGCAGGATTTGATAACCTTTTGATAATATCCAAACTGCTTTTAGCCCATCTGGAACCATTGAAATCCAAATGTCTTGTTCTTGCATGTTATTAGGCTTCCTTATCTAGTTTGTGAGCCCATTTTCTGCCTTCGAATATTATCACTTCTCCCATTGTCAACCCATTTCTGTTTTTGTTATTGTGTAAAAAGCATTTGGTGTGTAACTGAATTGCAGGAGTGCAAAAGTGGGAAATGTAATGTACTACTCGATAATACCTTGCATATATTGTTTTGCAATTAATTACCACCCCTTGTTTCTGCTGTGTTGTTCAATTTTCCGTCAACTTTGCTTCCCTAGCCTATTTCCATATCTCTTGACTCCTTTACAATCTTGGCTTTGAGCATGCTCAAAAGACCATGTGCATCTACAAACTTTATGGGATAGAGAATTCTGAAGATTCATATATCCTCGAGTAATTACATTTCTTCTTGTTTCAGTCCCAAATGACCAGCCTTTTATGCTGACACTGACTTCTACAGCCAGAAACACTACAGAGATGAAAGGACGTATCAGCGCCTGTCCTGTCAAACTTCCTAAGAAATTGACACTTTCAGCTTGAACACCATTTCAGTTTTGAAAGACACCAGAGAATAGAGACACTGCACATGCTTGATAAGTAATTCGTTCTACACGGTGTAATCTAATGATCCTTAGCACTCCCTCCCCAATCCCAGGCAAATAGTTATCATCCTTGGGTAAAGAGTCCAAAATTGTAGTTCTCCAAGTATGGCCTCATTAGAATGCTACCTTTTAACGTTATACTTCAGTTCACTTGTTATAATAGCTAAGTGTTTGTACCTGAATGTTGACTTCAGAAGGACAGCCAGAATCACCAACTACCAACATTTGTTAATTCTTTACATTTAAAATAAAACTCTACTTTTCTATTCTATTCCTATTAATTTGGATAATTTCTTATCGCCCACATTAAATCTAAATAAAGGGATCTACGAGGGCCTGAAGCATGAATTGATCAGGATTGATTTGGGAAAGTGAAAAGTGTTGACTGTGGATAGGCAATGGCTGATTTTTGAAGAACAGGTGTATGAATTACAACAACTGTTCATTCTTTCTTTCTGGCACAAAGATAAAACAAAAATGGTGGCTCAGCCATGGCTTCCAAAATAAATTATGGCTAGTATGTCTCCTTGTTGTACCCAATATAAAATTCAGAAAAAGCAGCAAGCCTGAAGATTGGAATCCGTTTAGAATATAGCAGAAGAGGATAAACAGTTTGAGTTGCGAGTAAAATTGCAGGGAGCATAAAAACTGACTGTAAAACTTTGTTTATAAATGTGTGAAGAGAAAGTGTAAACAAATTTAGGTCCCTTGTGTCAGAGCCTTTAGCTATAGGAAAGATGTTATGAAACTTGAAAGGGTTCAGAAAAGGTTTACAAGGATGTTGCCATTGTTGGACAGTTTGAGCTTTAGGGAGAGGCTGAATAGCCTGGGGCTGTTTTCCCTGGAGTGTCAAAGGCTGAGGGGTGACCTTATAGAAGTTTATAAAATCATGAGGGGCATGGATAGGGTGAATAGTTACGGTTTTTTCCGCAGATTAGGGGCTTCCAAAACTAGAGGGCGTAGCCTTAAGGTGAGAGGGGAAAGATTTAAAAGGGACTTGAGGGGCACCTTTTTCATGCAGCGCCTGGTGCATCTATGGAGTGAACTGCCAGAAGAAGTGGTGGAGGCTAGTACAGTTACAACATTTAAATGACATCTGGGTGAGTACATGAATTGGAAGGGTTTAGATGGATATGGGCCAAATGCTAGCCAATGGGACTAGATTAATTTAGCATATCTGGTGGGCATGGACGAGTTGGATCGAAGGGTCTGTTTCCGTGCTGTATATCTCTGACTCTAATTTGTGGGAAACAAAAGAAATGGCAGGTGAATTGGGGGAGGAGTTGAAAAAAATCAGTATTAGGAAAAAGTGTTGCGAGAGAAATGTGGATGTACAAAGGGATCTTGGTGACCTTGTACACCAGTCATTGAAAGTAAGTAGGTGTAGCAACCAGTCAGGAAAGCAAATGTTAGCTACCTTTGCAAGAGGATTTGCGTTCAGAAATTGGAATGGCCACTGGTCTATATTCCTTTATAGTCCTTTTGTGTCCTCCTCGCAACTTACTTTCTCATTTTGTTATTGCTTGGCTCTCTCCTCCAAGTCAAATTTAGGGCTTTGAGCTAGACTTGCAGGGGTTGTGAGGAAGAACCTCTTTAAGGAAGGGGATAATGCTTGGAATCCACTGCCTGCAAGGGTAATGGAAACAGATGCAGTTAATAACAGACATGTGAGAAGTAAGCTTGTAAGGGGGATGTGGACAGAAAAGGGCAACGGAACTGATTTGTGTTGCTGCACAGAGCCAATATTAGCTTAATGGGCTACCTTCTGTTCTTTAGTGACAACTTTATGACCCATTGATACAGATTGTAAATAACATAAGAAATAGGATCAATATTAAGCCATTCAATCCTTTAAATCCACTGTTATTTAGTGGGGTTGTAGCTGATTGCTATCACACCATTTACATGTACTGTTCCCATATCCTATGATGGGTGGTTCTTCAGTAAAAGTCTTACTGATCTCGGCCTCGAACATGCACAGAAACTTCCACTTCCTCCTGGAGCAGAGAAATTCCAAAGATAAAACCACCTAGTTATTTGAGTTCTAAATGCCCCTTATTCTAATGTATGCTTTCTTGTTCTCGTGCCCTCCAAGTTAACCTCCCCACTCCCAAAGCCAGCCAGTGTAAGTAATCTTGGTGCATTAGCTCTCTGATCGCTCTCTTGCTTTCTTGCATGTGGATGTGCTCTCACTCCCTTTCTTGTGTTCGCTTTTTCAGGTACAAGCACCCTCAAACTAAAGAAACCAAATCAGAGCCTAATACTCCAGGTATAGTTTTAACAGAGGCTCTATATAATTGGAACAGGGCATCTTTACCCCTATACTTGATTTATCTGTATTAAAGGCTAACATGCCATTTGCCAACTTAATTGCTTCCTGTGCCTGCATGTTTAGCTTTCAGGGACTTATGAACAAGAGCAGCAACTCCTTTTGGAATTGAACACTTAGCCTCTCACCATTTAGGATGTACTTTTAGATTTCTGTTTTCCCGACAAAAATCTGACCATGGTGGGCTGGTGACGAAGTGGAAGTGCGCTGGACTGATAGTCCACAGGCCCAGGGCAATGCTCTGGGTATGTCTCTTCAAAATCTGAAATTTATAGCTCGTCTCAGTAGTAGTGACCATGAACAAAATTTGTTGTGAAATATTATCTGGTTCGTTGACATCTTTTTTAGGAAAGAAGATCTGGCTTACATGACTCCATTCGCACAGCAATTTTGTTGACTCTTAACCCTCTGAAGTGGCCTAGTGAGCCACTCAGTTCAAGAGCAGTTGAGGATGGGCAAGAAATGCTGACCTTGTTTGAGAAGCTCACCCAAATGAATGAGTTGTGGGGGAAAAAAAACCTTTCTTAGTTGTACCTACATTTCCAAATTCCCAACTATCCAGCCTTTGGTTAAACTTGTACTGTAATATTACTGGTTGGAGTGATCACAACTTGACCTTTGCCCTGGTTCCTATTCAAGCCATTATTCTTACCCACTGTTACGTGAGGAAAATAACAATATCGGCAGGATTGTGTTGGAAATTGGATCATCTGGATTTTAATGGGATCAAGGAGGTGGGAGATGAGCTTAGATTGGGCATGTGAGAAGATAGCGAAATAAGAGTTCAGATTTTGGGAGGTGGAAACTTAGAGGATATTTGATCCAATGAGGTAGAGGAATGGAGGGAAATGGTAGGCAGTTAAATGCTTGATCTAAACTTGCTGATTATATACTGTATGAACTCCTTGAACTTCCTGGAGATATGGAGGAAGAGAGCAATATACCTTTCTGAAGTCAGTCCTGAAGTAGTGAGCATTTTTGGCTGAAAGAGCAGGATCAGATGGTGGTTTTATGGTTCAGCAGTATTTGATGATGGGCAGTATTTGATGATGGGCAGCACTTGTTGAACTTATTGCGTTTCGTAGTGTTGTGGCATGCATTCTGTGGACAAGAGGTGATGGCATTTGTGGGGGAATCCGTGAAAAGAAGGATCATGAGAGGATGCCTTGGAGATGACCTTTTCAGTGACTAACACGGAGGGGGAGGCCACATGAACAATGTGAAGAGGATGATTGTCACTTTGGGTACGTGCAGTTATAGATTTAAGGGAGGATAGAATAACTGAATTCGAGAAGGATCCAGAATAAGAAGTATGTTTTTAGTACAAGCAACATGGATCTTATATTTCAGGAGCAAGCATTTAAATCAATACATAATGATCAAATCTTAATTCTCAAAAGACTTTTTTTCTTCACAGTTTGAAAAGAATATGTTTGAATTTTTATGGCATCATGTAATGTTGAATTATATTAAGATAATGCAAATCATTTTTTTTCCAGCCGCTTGACTTGGCTTCCGCACAGCTAGCAGCGTCCAATGGATGGCAGTTAATAACTTCAACACCAACTGTTGTAACAAAAGATACTGCTGGTAATTATGTGCAAATTACTGGACAGGTACCAGGATCTCCAGTTACTGCTTCTGTACCAACAAGTGGACAATATGTTCTGCAAAGTTTACAGAATCAACAGGTCTTTGCTGTTGCTCCAGGATCATCCACAGCTCCAACTGGTGTAGTGCCCAGTGTTCAATATCAAGTTATTCCACAAATCCAGCCTGGTGATGGGCAGCACTTGCAATTAGGTTTGGCTTCTTCTGGCACAGATACAGCATTACAGCAAGATGGTAATGGCCAAATTCAAATTATTCCTGGTACCAACCAAACAATAATCGCTGGTAAGACTTCTTCAGGCAACATTCTGTCTACCCAAAACCTTGTGTCACCAGCTGTTTCAGTTCAGATACAGCAGGGCAATGCTCACGTCCCTGTGCAAATTCAAGGAGTAGCTTACAGTGGTACATCTTATCCTAGTCAAGCTCAGCTTCTTACCAATGTTCCTGTTGGATTAACGGGTAATGTTGCTTTTGTGCCCATTGGAAATGTTGATGTTGATTCTCTTGGAACACCACCGACTTCAGAGTCTTTGAATCAAAGTGACTCTGCAGCGATTACTACGTCAAGCCAGATGATTATACCTGTTTCATCGGAAGCTATAAATAATATAGATACCTCAACAAGGACAGATGAGCAAAGTATTCCTGGACCTGTACAGAACCCAGCTTCTGGTGACGCCAACACTAGTATAGCTTCATTTGTGCCAACGACGTCAGTGGGTCATATGGTTGTTTCTGATGACCATATTGATGATGTGCAGCAAACCACCTCCAGTAGCAATTCTACTGAAACCCCTGATCAGATTCAGGCAACAAATGTGCTTCATGTGAATCAAGCTACTGTTGATCAAACACAGCTACAAGACATACAAGCTTCAACCTCTCAAACAGCTGATCATCAAATTCAATTTCAGTCGCATCAGCAATTTACTGTCCAGCCACAGATTGTTCAGAGTATTCCACAGCAGGCAATACAGTCTATTGCAGGACAGCCAATTACTGCACAAGCCATTACTCAGCAAGCTTTGCAGAATGTTCAACTACAAGTAGTACAAAATGCAGGCTCCTTAATATTACGAGCTCCAACATTAACTCCATCTGGAGAAATTACCTGGCAAACCTTTCAGGTACAGAACATCCAGAACTTGCAAAATGTGCAAATTCAGAATGCACCAACCCAGCAGATAACTCTGACACCAGTACATACAGTCACATTGGGCCAAGTAGCATCCAGTGGGGCACTGACACCAATTGCACCAGCTCCACTAACTGTTAGTAGCCCACAATTACAGACAGCAACTGTGAATTCGTTCACTTCTTCGAGCATTCAGTTGCAACAAGGCGCACACAATTCAAGTAAGTACTTTCATTAATTTGACCTATAATTAAATTAGTTGATGAAAAAATTGATATTCAAATCTATTGTAATCTCCATTTCCATTTTTTTTGTGGTTTCCCTGTCATATCAGGTGTGCAACTTACCTCCCAGATTGTTCCGTTGTTCTTTCAAATTTGAGCAATGGGTCATGTATGTGAGCTGCTTGATGATTTTGTCCCTCCTTTATCAACATATCTGGATTCTCCACTACAATATGACTCAGATCTTTTGCTCTTCTGTTTCTGTCTTTTATCAGTTTGTGGAATCTGGGCATCAATAGCTAGGCCAGCATTTTTGCCTGGCCCTCCCTCCCTTTTGAGGAGGTGATGGTGAGCTGATGACTTGAACTATTGCTGTCTTTGAGGTATAGGTAATTTAATAGTGCTATTAGAATTACAGGATTTTGCCCTGGCCACAGTGAATGTAGTCAAAAATCAGGATGGTGTAGACTGAGATGTTGCTGATGGTTGTCTTGGTACTGAGAATAGTTTTAAACTTGGCGATCCAGTTAAATGCGTAACTCTTAAATAATAATATATAACTTCATAATGTGTATTGTAGTTTGTTTTGAAGTATGAAAGTGTGTTCTAAGTTAGTTTTAATCAACTTTAGTTAATAGCAAAATTTAGAGAAACAACATCAACACTGGTTCAGAACTGGTCTTGTGTGCACAATTATTTGAATAGAAGTCTTGTTAATCTTGTCCAGTTTAAGAATGGCCAAATAATTTTAGTTGTGAAGTTTCTGATGTTGCAAGACTTTCTGGTGGAGTGAGACACAAGTTCGATGTGGCCAGTATAAAGTGCAGTGAATCAGGTTTGAAGTATCTTTTCTGTGTCATAAAACGATTATGAAACTGTATAACATTCAGTTGATGCTTCTTTCACATATTGAGAGTAGAGTTTTTTTTTAATTTGAAACTTGTTGTGGAAAGGGGATGAAATGCAGGGTAATGAAGTGGCAAGTAGTAAATGAAAAGGTGTTCAGAGGTATTAGTGCCAATGATTTGAGAATAATACATTTGTCCTTTCAATAAGAAAATTGAACAAGATGTTATTTTTAATTGGGGCAATTCGATACTTGGCCAATACAGAGCTGAGTGTGTACAATTGGTTGACAGAGGTAGTTCCAAAGTATTGACAGGGATCTGAATGGAGACATCGTAGCAGCCATCATGAGATCAGAGGAAGGGATATTCACTGACAATTTTGTAGTGTTCAACACCTTGCAATACTTCATGCTGCACATGGAAATGAACTACTTCAGTAAGACCTGAAGAACAGCCAGGCATGGACTGATACATGTTTGAATGCAGAATTGCATTAGATAAAGCTATCAAAAAGGCAACAAGGTTTTGGTTTTACATGGTGTACAGAAGCGAAGACTGAATTATAAATTTGTGCAGAACCCCATATCCTTTTGTTTGCATTTTGTCATAACAAGAATAGTATTGAAGTAGCAATGTGATCAATATCTTCACTGCTGGAATTCCTTCTATGACTTTGACACTCCCAGACTTTGCAAGCTGGATAGGGAAGTTTCTGCTTTTTAGCAGAAGAATTCTGCTCCTTGAAATGGTTTTTTTTGTCTAACCTCTGTTTTTGCCTTTGCCTCTCCCTCTCCTTAGCCTCTTTTCACATACCTAATCTGGCATGGTTCTGTCATGTTTGTGTGGGCTGCATGTAACACCAATGTTGAAATACTGAGGCCAATTTGATTTTATCCAAATGCATTAGTTCACTGTTTTGACAGTACTAGAAGGTAAACCTGGAAAATATGTCTCCATCCGCATGAAGTCGAATTTTTCCGTCTGTTTTGAGCTGCTTGGAAGCATTTGCATTTTACTACAAATCATAAAGTGGATTATAGTTTTCTTTCAACATCTGATTTTCTTATCACATTTTCAGACTCGCATCCCTGTTGTTTTTCATCCTTTACTATTGACATATACTGTCCTGCTGGGCAACACTTCAGTTGTAACTGAACTGTATGAACCCTGTCCAACCTACTGTATTAACATTAATCATAATTGGACATGTCAGTTTTCAGAAGGAAACCTGGCATAATGCATCATTAATTTTTCAGGTGGATACTGTGGTGGCTAGTTGTTGAAGCCTGTTCACACTGATTTTTTTTCTTAACACCAGCTCGAGTTTATTACGCAGACCAAGCAATGTAGATGTGGCACAATTTAAAAAGATATTAGTGTAGTCTCCACTCCAGGTGAAGCCTCGTGGACACCCTCAACAGTTGGAAGAAGACTTCCCTATTCTCAAGCTCCAACAAAGGCCAAATTCCATTTGCTGTTTTGTGTTTGCTTGTTGCACCTGCTTGTTAATTGTGATTCATGCACAAGACCACCTAGATTCCTCTATGCTGCATTTTTTGACAGTTCCAAGTAAATAATACTCAGCCTTTTGATTCTTCCTACCAGAGTGAATGACCTTCACTTTCCAAAATTAAAGAAAGTTTTCTGCCCATTCACTCAACCTGCTTATATTCTCTTGATAATTGTTATGCCCTCATCACAATATGTTCTCACCTATTTTTGTGTTGTATCCAAATTTGGGCACATGCCACTCTGTTCTCTCCTCCAAGTCATTTAATATGGATCATAAATAATTAGAGGCCTATGTCTAATCCTGCTGGCATTCCATTAGTTAAAAGACCAGTTAATCTTGACACTCTATCTTCTGGGTGTTATCCAATCCTCATTCCTTGCCAATACATTGCCCCCAGTACCATAAGGTGCTATCTTCTGCAGTAGGCTTTTATGTGGCACTTTATTGAAAAACTTCTGGAAATCCAAACACACACCACCTACTGATTCCCTTTTAACTCAAACAATTATAGCAAATTTGTCAAACAGGAATTCTCCTTTCTAAGACCGTGTTGACTCCATCTGATTGTATTATGCTTTTCTAAATCCTGTACTATTTCTTCCTTAATTTACTCTAGCGTTTTCCCAAAACAAGTGTTAGGCTAACTTATGTTTACTGCTTCCTGTCTTATAGAACATTAAACAATCCAGCACAGGTACAGGACCTTTGGCCCAACATATCTATGCTGATCATGGTCCCATGCTAAATTAATTCTGAAATAATGCTAATCCTGTAGTAAATGAGGACTGGTCATTTCATAAATTCTGTTCAAGGATCGGCAACCAAACGGCACAGACATAAACCAGTTCTAAGGAGCAATGGCAACGTGGGGAAAAGCACTCATGTAATGTAAGCATTTTTTTAGGACAATGTTTCCAAAACTTCTCTCCTCCTCCTCCTCCGCCCCCCCCCCCCCCCCCAACCCCCCAATTGGGACTCCGTTGTCAAGCCTGAAATGATCAGGTGAGCCCTAGGCTAGGAACTGTGATGCACTGGTTGAGTGTGTGTTGCAGGCAGGTTTGATCAAAACATCCAACATGGATCTTTGTTATCTAAAATTGAAGGATATCAGGGCTGTGGAAAGAAGATAGGAGAGGAAAGGTGGAAGTAGCACTAGGCGAATTTCTCCTTCAGAGAGCTAGCACAGACAAGATAGAATAGGAGGCCACCTAGTCCATACCTGTTTTGTGAATCTATAAGGAGCCACCAAACATGCCTCTACTGTAAATTCGTTGTAACAAAAAAAGTATTGAGGTTCAAGCAGAAGAGATATGACTAGATAGAGAAAAACTTTTCTCTATTGCAAGTGAATCATGAAGTAGAAATCGTCAGTTTAAAATAATTGGCAAAGATATGGAAACAAGACAAGATGTTTTTCATTCAGAATCTGGAATCCTCTACTTGGAAAAATTGGTACAAGCTGATTCCAACAATAAGCTCAAAAGTCATTTGGTCAGATACTTGAGGATGAGGCACTAGCAGGACAGACAAAAAGCAGGGGCAGGGATGGAAAGAAAAGCCAGCAGAGGCACAATGGGCTAAAAACGGGAACAGGAGTAGGCCATGCAGCCCTTCAAACGTGTTCTTCCATTCATCATGAGCAAGACTGATCATTCAACTCAGTACACCATTACTGCATTCTCCCCATACCCTTTGATCCCTTTAATCCTAAGAACTATATCTAACTCCTTGAAAACATTCAAATTTTTGGTCACAACCACTTTCTGTGGCAGAGAATTCCACAGGCTCGCCACTCTGTGTAAAGAAATTTCTCTTCATCTTGGTCTTAAATCCCATGTCCTTAATGTTATCCCTAGTTGAGGATTTATTGGTCATTGGGAACATCCTTCTTGCATTTAGCTTGTCTAGTTGGTGATTTTACGATCTATTGGAACCTTCCTGGAATCCACTGAGTTCTTGAAATGTTCAACCAGTCCCAATAGTTTGTCTAATACTTTGCCTGTTGTGATAGACTGTTACGTTTCTTCCCATTAGCACGTTGGTTAATTGATATCTTTGGATTGTTTACAGTGTCCTCCACTGTGAAGACCAATTCAAAGTATTGATTCAAAATATTTTTCATTTGTATGTTCCATGTTATCATCCCCCAGTTGCATCCTGAAATTGTCCCACATTCAATTTAGCTACTCTTTTATATCTGTAGAAGCTTTTTTAATTTGTTGCAAATTTATTTTTACAATCTCTTTTCTCCCCTTTTTCAGTAGTTTGCTGATTCCTGAAAAAAAAATCCCGATTCCCTGGCCTTTCACTAATTTAAGTTTAGATGCCTTAGTTTTTGACTGTATAACATAGAAGTGGGTGATTCAGTCCATCAAGTCTGCTTTGCCATTAAGTGAGAACATCACTGATCTGATCATCTTCAACTCACTTTCCTGACTTATCCCATAACCTTTGATTCCCTTCCTTCCTAAAAATTTATTCCTCTGCCAAGTGCGCTGAACGATCCAGGCTCAACTACCCTCTGCAGTGAAGAATTCCACAGATTTACTACCCTTATTTTTTCTTTAAATGGCTGACCCCTTATTCTGAAATTTGTTCTCTGGTCCTGGACACTCCTACAATGGGAAACAACTGTA